TATATATATATATATAGTTCCACTTTGGTTGATATATTTTTTAATTATACTTGTAATATTGTATACATTTATGTAATTTATTAAAAGGCTATCAAACCATATGTTACAACCTTTTTGCTTCACTATGGTTGGTATACCGTATTGTTTCATTTGATCGAACAAAATAATCAGTGGATTACTATAGTATAGGATATATTTGTGTCGCCTGTCGGTGACATAGGGCCTATATATATATGTATATATATAACTTTTACGGATTATTGTTAACTTGCAAAAATTATCACTACAATATTGAAGTTATATATATAGGCGTAATTATAAATTTAAAAGTGGCTCGGACATATTTGTACAGCTAGCCCGGCTGCGAATTTTTTTTTCCTACACGTTATATCCATTGGGCTCCTCTGATTGGCTGCTTTGATTTGACCACACCATAGATAGTGTTTCCCCAAACCCAAATAGCCCAATGGATATGACGTGTAGGGAAAAAAATTCGCAGCCAGGCGACCAATGCCGTTACCCGGTATATTGGCACGCTGCCAGCTAGTGCGTGCGTGCGCACGCGCGCGCGTGTATGTACAACTGCTCCACATAAATCCCCACGGAAGCCACTGCATGCCGGTCGATATTATTATTGCGCAGTGCGCTGCAAAATCGCAAAATTGCGCAACATTGCGAAACATATTTTGCAAAAATTGTATAGGCTTGCGCAGCATTAGAAACTTAAATTGGGTGTAATAACGAAAATAGATAATTGGCCAGACTATTTCTCTATTTTAGTCAACAGAGCTATTATTGAATGGTACTTCCATTATTGCCCATTTATTTTTCAAAGGAGTCTGCATGACCGACCAAGCCTTGGGCGTGTATTAATTAAGATAGTTACTGACAAACTGTACGGCCCATATATAGTGTCCATATACCTGCGTCCGTCAACATAACATCTTTATATTATAAAGTACACATACATGCATGTGCGGCTTACGCACTGACGCACATAGTGTAATGATCGAGTGCGTATAGGCCTACGTCGTGTGTACGTAGGTGAGTACGTGCTGCTGCGCACGTGCGTGTGTATAAAATTATAGTATGTGACGCTGATTACATATGTGGTACTTTAGCCTTCAGGCAGAATGATGTGTTGACGTCTTTTTACGGATCCTATATATAGAACCAGCCAAGCACAACATGACCAAGGCCACGGCGTACATTTTGTCGATCACGCAGCCGCGCCTTTACAAAATCACATTTACAAAAATGAGTTCCGAGAGTTCCTGCTCTTGCAATTGCTCTGTTGCCTAAAATTAATTAGATACACTATAGTCTAGCCAATTATATAATTTTGCTGTTAGGCCTACTTAATTGAATTTTTACTAATCTCCGGCGTTGTATTGTAGGCAGGGACCCGCAAGTATTGGCAATTTTGCTATGTGTGTGCAAGGTGTACTGTGTGTAAGCGCGAGTGCGTGAGTGCGTGCGTGCGCGCGTGTGTGTGTTTCCTAATTTCTCATGTCGTTTGAATTAGTAAACAAACACTTGCGACTCATAGCATGAACGTACGTGTATATGTCCCGCCCCTCTCTATGCATATCCTACACAGTATATATGAGGATACATAATATCAATTAGGAATAACGTACGTATAGTCACAATTTTTAATAAGACAAAGCTTTAGAAAAACACGATTGTATTCACGAGTCACAAGTATAGGTCCGAAAGCGCTATCATTACGTGTATATGTGACCTAGTTAGTAGTTACACGCCCCAGCCGAGGTTTAGCGACGTCATTTGACCCGGCTCAGGGATTTAGGGGCGGAGATTGCCATACGTATTATGGTGATCGGCCATGGCGAACGTTCAGAAGTACAAGCTACAGTCGGTCGCAATATGACACATATATTCACCTCAATATATTACCCCGCGCTACACGTTACGCATTACGCAAGCAATGCGTTCAAGAAAACCCTCTGTTTTTCCACTCCTCACATTTAGTTTTATTATATAATTAAAGATGCGGCCAAAATAGAATTTCGGCCAAAAGAAGTAAACAAGCACAGTTATGAATGGAAGAAATCATTCTGTAATTTTGTCACGTAAACAGAGAAAATGTAGAGCATATAAGAAACGCGTGGAGGACAAGCAGAATTTATTGAAAAAAGATGACAAGCGAAAAAGATTAATTGCGAAGACCGAAGAAGACGTTATAACCCCAGCGGAGAGGGAGTTAGTGTGGTGGTTATGGATACAAACATCGAATATAGGGAGCTGATATTTGATCTATATTAAGAGGATCATCTGAGTGAAGGGAGCCGTTAGGGGTAGGTATATTTAAAATGAGCAATATTAGGTTGCAGATTTCCTATCCGCTAATATACATTTTATATATGCTATATATTACATACACGCTACACAAAGCACAAGACATTCTACGCAGGTGCATCATAGCTGCAAAGCCGGTTAGCCTGTAGGGGCCTACTACCCTAGTGAAAAACTGCTACAGTGTCAGTGTGCTTAGTGCTACAGTGTAGTAGTGTGCTACACGTAGAAATGACGGAGTTCCCTATTGCGCTCTATGACAATAAAGCGTCACAAGCAAATTGATAACATGGAAAATTAGGCACACGAAAGTCGAACAGGAGGTCGAGGAGGAAAGAAGCATGAGAGAGAGAGAGAGAAACGTTAACGAGAATGCAGTAAATTGAGGTGGAGGAATTAAAGCAAGAGAAGGATATGAGCAAGAGAAGGGTATAGGGAAGGAGGGCACGGGAAGAGGGAGAAAGGTGAAGAACGAAGAAAGTGACAGAGGAGAAGAATGGATGGGGTGGAGAAGATGTTGACAGTAGAGTAGGAAGTAGAAGAGGAGAGGGTGGGAGAGGTGGAGAATGAGGGAGCTGGTTAAGGAGGGTAAGAGGGGAGAAGAGCGGAAAAGGAAAGATGAGGTGGAGGAGGATGAAGGAGATAAACGAGGAGGGGATACAGGAGGCGAAAGGAGGTAGAGAAGGAGGAGGTACAGGAGAGGCCTACCTTCTACCATCATCGTTTACCTCATCGTATGTGTCACCTCTCTCGTCCCTCCTGCACCTTCTCCCCTCCTCCTCTATTTTCTCCCTTCCTCTACCTCCTCCTCCTCAACGTTCTCTACCTCCAACGTTTCAACCCTTCTCTACCTCCTCGACCTTTTCCCCTCATCTACCTCCTCCTCCCCTCCTTTTCACCTCCTTCTCACCTCCTTTTTCTCCTTCTCCCCTCCTTTACCTCCTCTATCTCCCCTCATTTACCTCCTCCTTCTCCCCTCCTTTACCTCCTCATCCTCCCCTCCTTTACCTCCTCCTTCTCCCCTCCTTTACCTCCTCCTTCTCCCCTCCTTTACCTCCTCCTTCTCCCCTTCTTTACCTCCTGCTCAACCTTCTCCCCTCCTCTACCTGAGACTACCTCCTCATCAACCTTCTCCTACACCTTCTCCCCTCCTCTCTCCTTCCTTCCTCCTCCTCTCTCCTCTCCTCTCTTCTCTTCTCCTCACCTTCTCCTCTTCTCTCCTCTCCTCTTCTCCTACACCTTCTCCCCTCCTCGACCACCTTCTTCACATTCTTCCCTCATCTACCTCCTACCACACCTTCTCTTCTCATCTACCTCCTCCTCCAGCCTCTCCTCTCCTCTGCTTCCTCCTTCACCTTCTCCTCTCCTCTGCTTCCTCCTTCATATTCTCCTCACCTCGACTTTCTACCCTCCACCTCTTCCTGCTCTGTTCTCCTGTGCCACCTCCCACTGCTCCGCATTCTCCCATTCTCATTTACCACTCCACATCCCGTTCCAATGATCATACTTCCCCTCTCTCCTCTTTCTATCCATTTCTCTTGCTCTTCTCCAACTCAATTTATCCTGTTCTCCCCCTCTCTCTCTCTCTCTTATCCTCTCTTCCTGCTCTTCCCTTTCTGTTCGCCTTCCTCTGCTCCTCCTCCCTTCCTGCTCCAGCTATCTTTTCCCACTTTGCAGTAGTAAACTTCGTGTGAACACTTTTTTATGACCAATTTTCTGTGTAACCAATTTTCCTATTAATGTGATGTGCAATGATCTCGGATTCACAACCATGACTTTCTAACTCCCCAGACATCCCCATTGAAGAAAAAATAGGTTGTGTTTTGTTCTACGATGGGGCGGAGGGGTACTCGACCCAAAAGCACCCTCCACCGCTAGCCTATATTCCAAACTTTCCTAAACTCTGCTACGCACTGATATAACATCCCATTATGTAAAAGTATGGTGTAGTGATTTACTTTTTGTTTTCTGTATGATATAGATTTACCATCGCAAATGTTCCACACAACCAATTTTATGCCAACACTATCTATTTTGCAGCCATTTATTCATAAAATAAGAATGAATAGAAGAACTGTTGTCATGTCATCACATTCCTAATGCACATTTAACATGATCAAACAGGCAATTAAAATGGGCTACTTTATATACGAAACTAAAATGAACATTATTATACCAGAATGCTATAGTTATTTATTTACATATAGTATTTTAGTAGTTCTGTAATTTTATTCCCAAATTTGAACTACATACTGCAGCACAATGAAGTAATTTTTTTATAAACATTCATTACTCGTATCACATAATTGCTCATAGAGATGTCTTGATCTGTTGATGTTTAGCTCCACAATGGATGAAGGCAGTATCTCATTAAAAAGCCACATCCTATTATGGCTATGCTGACTGCTTTTCTTGCTTCCCATGTCACTACAGTAAAATCACAGATTAAAATATTAAAATATATATATATATCAGGAGTAGATAATAGGGAAGGAGTGTGACTTCAATAAACAAGGGAAATTCGTAATTTACTAGCCTTATAATACCTAACGATTATACTAATGGGCGTAACATCATCGCAATACTTGAGCTGCAAATCGGGTAGCACGAGTAACATTGGCCTCACGCATGGCCTGCCAAATCGTTTCCATCGTATACATCGCAGCAAATCCGGAGATTACAGAACTAAAAGTACGACACACGGATTATCCATGTCTTTGGCCATCAATGCTGAACATATCTCCCCCAAACTGTGCAAACACAAAGCAGACTACCTACGGACGCACTGTGCTCATGCGGCAAGGCGGTGTGGCTCACTGGGAAGATTGGACATCGACGCAACACTCGGCGAGATAACCTTGGACGAGGAGCAATACAGCTATCATAACCGGCAAATCGACAACCGAGTACGAGCTATGGCCCCGCACCGCACGACACGTCCCCACGCAATCTCGCCTGCGAAGCACACGCCCTCGCACGCGCAGCATACCACAGTGCGTTAGTAGCTGCCTTTTGTTTTGAATATAGGCGGGCAAATCGGCCTGCAGGATTGATGGCCAAAAGGAAGAATAATGCGTGTGTACGTTTTTAGTCTGTATTCTCTGAATTGCTTGTGTATACGAGAAACGTTTCGCAGATGCTAGGCGAATGTACTGTGTACGCATTTGAGGCTCAGTGATGAGTGTACGCCGTAGAAATGTAGTATTAATAAGGCTAGTAAATACGAATTTTCCTTGTTTTTGAAGTCAACTCTTCCTATTTATCTACTCCTGCATATATATATATTAGGGCGCTGTAACAGATACCAAGCCTCTCGATTCGATCCGGTTCTCGATAATTAGCGCTTCTCGATTCGATTCCTTCGATCGATTTCCCAAAGATTTGAATATGTTATCATTGTTCTTATATTATTCATTATTATGTCAGATAAATAATTTATTAGAGATTGGCCAATGAAATATCCAAATGGTGAATAGCATAGAGAGTCTAGAGAGTATCATATACATGCACAGCCGCTAGTAACATATGGGAGTAAAAACTCCACAGTATAATGGCGTAGTGCCGCCACTCTATTAGAGAAAAAATTTTGGTATCGAAGTGGAACGCGAAAATACGGGGAAAATATCGGGGATGATCGAGGAAGAGAATCGCGATCCGATTCGATTTCGGTGTATCGTTACAGCCCTAATATATATATATAATACAATATATAACAATAATACAAGCAAATACAAAATTGTTGGCACATTGTATTATTTATGTTGACAATTTAATTTTCTATTTTCGCACGTGTGTGCGTGCGTGCGTGCGTGCGCGCGTGCACGTCCACGCATATATGCGTGAGCTGGAATACTACCAAGAGTAGATAATAACACATCTACCTTTGATACTACTAAAGGGTGGGTAAGGGTATTTTCGTGAAACGTGATCGGCCGTTTTATACCTGTGAACTGTGAATTGCAATTTATTTTGTCTGTGAACTGTGAATGGACCACCTTGCGTGAAGCGTGATTAGCTTTTATTGTAGTCTGTGAACTTGATAAGAGGACTCTTTCCTCGTGAATCTATATGGCATGTCAGGCCGCGATTTAGACCGTTTGCACGTTTTCCAGAAACCGGTCACAGGCCTCAAAATTCACCAGAATGCACCAAATTAGCCTAATTTTTTTAAAATTCCCGGGGGGGGGGGCATGCACCCGGAACCCCCTAGCTGATAGAAGAACATATGGAAACTATATATTACGCACGCATCACACGGCACACACCGCTCGCTCGCCACGACCGCACGCACACACCAGCACACACATGTATAAGCATGCACTACTGGCGGCAAGCATATTTTTGATATTTAGAATGTTGTTGATATTTAGAACACTTGTATACTTCTATCGACCTTATCTTATGAGTCTGAATTTTGCTGTAAAAGCTGGAATTACTCCTGTGATCCTGTGAAATAAGCATTATTTTGACTGGTGAAATGTGAAAAGCAGTTTATTTTGCAGCTGTGAACTGTGAACCCCCTTACCCCTACTAATGGCCTCACCTGTAAATGCCTGCACATTAGACGTGAATATCAAGAGCTCAGTAAGTGTGAGGTAGACAACATTGCTACTCTGGCCCCAGATGATTGCTGGAATGGCTAGGAACTTGCCAAAACTTGATATGATTATTCCATCCAGCACTGATCGTATACTATGGTAAACAAGGTGAAAACAGAACTTGTAAAGATATGCTGGAATGTATATATATGCACTATCAAATTTATAAGGGGGTTTAAGAATAAAAAATAGCACAACAGGGAATACTATACATTACCGGTACATTAATAATTGCAAATATTATATCGCCAGATCACATGGAGGTAAATATAGATGACATGTTACCTAGGTCTGGGTCTACTCCCAGCCGGTCCACGCAGCTGAAATCTGAGCTCACTGCAAATGATGACTGTCGAGAAGAACACCAAAATTTCTAAAAGAAAAAGAATTTTCTGAAAGTTACTTAAGTTTTAAGCAAATCTGTTACAATACAACGAATACGTACTATCAAGGTAAGGCAGACAAAACATTCCAATACTGTAGTCATTGCAAAATCTTCTAGGTAACATGCAAAGACATAACGGCAACCACACAACTTGATATCAATGCACGTGTATGAAATTCGAACACTGAACTCAGGCTCACATTACTCAGCATTCCATGAAATTACATAAGCTTTATAAACCACGTATATATGTATGATGTTGTGATTATGACTGATACATTACTAACACATTAAATTAAATGTAGATCTTTTTTTCTAAATATTATCGAAATCACCATCTAGGCATGGCCACCAAAGCCACGTGCGGTGTGTTCTGAGAAGGTTACTGCCATTCACCATTTAAAGCAACTATATTTCTCTTGGTGACAACCCATCCCCTACACACCATGCACCACTAGCGATGGACCTGCTGGGAAAAGTGGCTTTTATTTTTATACTCATAACAGAGTGATACATATAGTGTTTATTACAATAGTATATGTACATAAGATCCAACTGTAACTACAATGAGTCTATTAATGCATACCAATACTAGCTTTCATGCACATGTTGTAGAATCTTCCTTCAATAGCATAAAACAAAGGCTCATAATTGGATGTCTTTGCCTCAGAGAGGGACTTTTCTTGAGTCCACATCACATAAGCATCACAGATGATGAAGAAGATAACCAACCTCCAGTGTGCCTATATAGCAATTAAGCCCATGCAAGATAATTAAGTAGGCCTATAACACATGACGACATTGGATCAGGAGTTATAACCAACAGACTGACATCGGAGCTCATAGATAACAACTTCTAAACCTATAACCTGGCCACAACTACTACTGATATGCAAGTTTTTAACTACCTGTTTCTTTCATTTTAAACAGGTATGAAGCAAAAAACTATATAATTATCATGACAAAATTATCAGGATTGTATAATAATAGAAATATGTCTATTATTATACACTCCTGATATTATGTTATAAATACAAATTATGCTTGAGGTGAATGTGAAGAGTGTGCAATTCATTATAAAGCATAGCTCGATATACAGTCATAGATATACATACATATCTTTACAGTTGGAAAATTCACAACACCATACACCTATACAAATTTACCTTAAATTCCGTGTTAAAAATAACATGTCTATAGGGCTCTTTTTTTTGCAGCACGGCATCAAGGAAAATTATTACTGGGTCAAACTCTATATACTTGTCCACTTGCTTCCCACATAGATCCTGTAGAAAAGACAGCAGAACAGAAGCTGTCACATCTGAGCATGATTTTACTTGGCAATCGACCAAAAATTCTATAGAAATGACAACCGGCAAGAGATATCAGGAGAAAATGTAACACACTTTACGTAAATCAATATGAAAGCAGCAAGTAAAGGTAGAGTGCGCTTGAGAGACCTTCAATGTTGGATAAGATGATACTCAGTGCCGCTGATAGGGATTATATGTCCCCCATGTACTGCCGGAACGTACCCTGTGTAAGGTCCGGTATACCGGAACGTACCCTGGTAACTATTTGATATGGTTAGGGTTAATGTTAGGGTTAGGGTTAGGGTTAGGGAGAAGGCGTAGGCGACTCCCTAGACTCGTTAGTGGAGTAGGCAAGGTATGGTCCGGCATATTAGATAGTACCAGGGTACGTTCCGGCAGTACCCCGGGGGACATAGACCCTCTCAGGTTCAGTGCCGGTCCTGACAAGGACCCAAGCTGTCGACGCCAAGACTCGCCAACTTGTTGGTCGACGGATAGACAATGAATCAACAGGCAATGAAGCTTGTTGGAAGTAGCGATAGTAGCAATAGTAGTGTAGTGTGGTAAGATTCGCAGGTGGAAAACCTGACAGGTGCCGCAACGTGAATGTTCCTTCCATGACCCCCCCCCCCCTGGTAAAGGTAGACATGCAGGCAAGCAAAGAACAAGTGTCCTACTGTCCTAATGCGTAGCATAAACCATTGCAGCTACCATAAAAAGGCTGAAGTACAGACAACCGTAAAATTCCCATCCCTTTATTCTATTGAATAAAATTGAATAAATATAGTAATAGGAACCTACATGTGGTACTTAATGTGGTATTTAATTGTTAATTGAAAAAATTGGAAAAGTAATACCATGTACTACATACACAGTTTGATACAAAGTGATATATACCGAGTGATATATTATAGAAAGTGACTACATGTCCGATTTCCAAGTGCGCAGCCCACAGGCTAGCTGTTCACGTATTCCTTTTATAAATTTTACCTGGATTTTTACTTGGATGCCTGGGGATTAATAGCGAGGGGTTATGAATGGGTGTGTATAAGTATGTGTCAAGACGTACATACAGCATTCATTGGTTGTTAGACACAGCACTGCCTCACATAGGGGATCATTCCACATGTCGATCACTCAATCACATGGCTAAAAATACTGTCTACAGCGTAGTCCGGCTCTCGGTTTATCAGTGGCCTTTTGTTCCGGAGTATATATTGAAAGCGCAAGTTGGTTAGTCTTACCACTATTCCGTTATTTTTATAATTTTAAAAGTTTCCCGTCGGTCTGGTCTGATTCTATTGGTTTCAACTGTTAAACAATTAAGTCAGGGTTTGACCGTCTATCGCTTAAAAGATATATCCAAATATTCTGGGATGATTGAATTCCAAGTCAAGATGCTTGAATCTAGGTGTCCAGAAGTCACACATCACATGTAGTCATAGCTCTAGTACTATAGCCCACGTGCGGCAACTGTACACGGGCCAAGTAGTATTAGAGCTGGTTTATTCCCGGTTGGCCTACTCCCATTTCGCCTACGGCAAAATTTCCAGTTGGCCTATACCCATTTTGCCTACTCCCAATTCGTCTACGCTCAAATCTACCTCATTCCCATTTCGTCTACGATCAGTTTGTTCACTAAATAATCATTTATAAATAATAAAATAAAATATGGTTTTGATTGGCATACATTGACTACAGGAACCAGAAGAAAACATAGGTACAAATAATGAGAACAAAAATAGAAAATACAGTAGTAAAAAAATGAAACAATGGGAGTAGGCGAAATGGGAATATTGCCGATTCTGAGAGTAGACGAAATGGGAGTAGGCGAAATATGGGACGCGTAGACAAAATGGGTGTAGGCGAAATGGGAGTAAGCCAACTGGGATGTTACCCTAGAGCTAATGTAGTCACTACCTATAATGTACAATATAAAATACGCTGTGGCTATATGCCCGGCAGCCGGGCACGATCTTCGATTTCCTAAATGCCCTGCAGTTCCTAACCCTAACCCTTCTTTACTTGAGATAACGCTGAAAATTAAATGAAAGTGTCAATGACACTGTAGCTCACCACAAAAAAGGACACAAATGAGTGAGTGAGAAGAAGTCAGTTTTAATTGAGCAACCATCGACGTACATTATAGAAACGATTGCCATCTGTATATCGCAATAATAATTTATAAACCAAAATGAATCACAATTTGTGATGGTAGATGGCGCTATACCCGCTTTGATGTTTCTTAGCGATGGCATTCGAAATAAATAGGTTAAATGCTGCGTTCCGACATGTTTTGTAAAACTTTACTTTAATATAGACGTTTTATCGGCAGGGTGGAGAGGAAATACCAATTTTGCATTAAAGATATTGTCAATGAAATCTTGTAAAACGAACCAGACGAGTGTGACACCACAGACTGTTATCTGTTATCGTGTCTATATAATCTGCTATATAATTGCCAAAACCTACCTAATTTGCATAATTTTTTTAAATATCAACCCCCTAGCCCTTATTCATTCACATACCAAAAATAAACAAAATCCGTTGAACCTGAACTGACAAATGGTAATTTAATTCCCATTTTTGCCAAAAAATTGCCGTGGCTCGAAAGTACGTCGACTGGCGTGCTCCAAAATAGGACGTTCAATATGGGAGCATAGCAGTAACAACTATGCCCAATTTCAAACATGTGGGTCAAACGGTTCCTGAGTTATCGACTTATCGTTGACCGTAGCCAAATGTTGACGGACGGACGGACGTACGACGGACGATGACCCATGGCAATAGCTCAGCTTGACGATGTCAAGGTGAGCTAAAAATGACGGGCATTTAGGAAATTGAAGACCGTGCCCGGCAGCCATCAGATATATGCCGGCTGCCGGGCATATAGCCACTCAGTCACTCTGTATAAAATCAAAGTAAAGTAAAAGGCCTTACGCAGTGAGCCAATTTGATCACATTTGCATTGTACTTCTTGCACAATTCTGGAACATTGTGGCCACAGTTAATGCACTTGTAACGTTGTTCCTCTGTGGTTCGCCTTATCACGCCCTTTTCCATTCTTCCAAATTATCTGTTGTCTCTCCTTCTACTACCTGACACTAAAACTGGCGAGTAGTTGATCATAGCTTAATTTTAGAAGATAGCCTGCGTACAGTTGCCTAGGCCTTAGGCTTAGGTAACCCTAGATACAATAATGTAACCCAAACCCAGGATAGGGGTCCAGTCCTAGCTGTGTTTGGGTTACATTATTGTATCTATCCTAACCCTATCCT